AGCATTTTAGATCAGGCTTTTATATCAAGCATGATCAGTCTAAAAATGCCAAACTGAATCGTTATAAACCTCAATCTGCCAATCAGAGCTAACAAGGCTCTGTGGGTCACTCTGATTTGACCTCAACGTGATATTCCTGCTTTCAATTATCCTTCCGAATAGGTTTTACGAGGAAGTTGCCTAGCGACACACGAGACACACCCTTTTTCCTGGGACGGCGTGACTCGGACCTCAGTGGCAGAAAAAGTCGACCGAACAAGGATTCCGAGTTAGAATCCAAGATGACTGCGCTCATTTGTGACATGTTAATACAAAGTGTTTTCATTGTGTTTGGACACTTTGGTGGTTTAAATGACAATTTCACTCACTTGAATTACTGCAATACCTTACTGCGTCTGTATCACTGCCTGTGGGTTTGGTAGTCAGTGTTGTGGTGAGGTCAATATTGAACAAATACTTGATTTAATGGGTGTTAATGTCCCTAAGGTTGTAACGGAAGAGAACTCTTAACATAAAATGAAGTGCAAATTTCAAAAATCGAATTAATTAAAGAAGCAGCGTTTTCATAAGATGAGGGAATAGTCATAATCATAATCCACGCAGTCCGACATGCGAAACATAATAATACAATTCAAGCTCAGATGTGACGTCAAATCCGAGGTCCAAGTGGGACTTGAAAGATAAGAGAACACAGAGTATCTATCTGGGATGACTCTCACTGAAAACATTCAGAAAACACTGTATGCAGTGATGATTATTTGAATCTGATTGGTCTTTCGGCGTTGCCATGTTTATTTCGGTCTGTTTGGGCGCTTCAAACCTCAGTGCTGCTCTGTGATTGGTCCACAGCTCAAACTATCCTTTCGGAGTGCACTACAAGACAAATCCTTGTCAGTTTGTGAACTCAATAGGCTCTGTTCGCTCTTACGTCACAAACCAGGAAGATGTTTGGAAACATGCGATGACAGCTTCTGGAGGGCTTTGTTCATGATAGCAAGTCTAAGGCTACGTTCACACTGCAGACTGAAGTTCCCAAATCTGATTTTTTGGCCCCTTTGTGACCTGTATCTGATCTTTTAATGACAGTCTGAACAACACAGATCCGATTTTTCAAATGCGACCCAGGCCCCTTGCATATGTGCTCCTAAAACTGATACATATCTGATCTTTTGACATGCCACTTCAGTCTGAACGGCCAGGTCACGTTCATCCCGCCTACACGTTATCAACAAGCGACAAATGTACACAAACGTTCTTCTCGTCATATTGTTAATGTTAATGAACTCCGTGTCACTGAAGCGAAGCAACTCGCTGTCCCACCACTCTTGGCTACGTCTCCACATCCACACGTTCCTTTCAGCGGACTGTCCCACAAAACACCATGGCCAAAAATGTTGTCCTTCTCCTTCTCAATCTCCTCCTTAAAACAAGTAAGTTGTTCATGTTCTGGCTCTGGTACAAGAGGAACTTTACAATCTTCAGGTGCTCAATGCTCGCGTCCATGTTTGGACAACTTTCGTAAACACAGAGCACGCTCACTGAGGTTGACGTCGTCGTGTCTCCAGTGCACATGCCGGACACTTTTGGGCCATTTAATGTTCACACTGGAGTCACATACAAGTCGCATTTAATTGGAAATGTGAACGACCTCGCAAAAACATCGGATTTCACAAAAAAAATATAAAAATCTGAATTGAGCGTTAAGCCCTGCAGTCTGAACATAGTGTAAATCTAGAAAAATGGGAAAATGGTCCAGTTTTCTTCATCTCCATGTCACGGTCAACAATTACAACCACACCTCAGTTTTCCACACTGACACACAACACTGAGCGCACTGGGTACATGCGATTAAAGAGATGAGGCACCAAATTCAAGATGATTCCAAACAGCACATACGTATACAGTCTTCATTTTACCTCTGATCACATTTACTTCAGTGGGTTTTATCACAGTCGGTCAGTGAGCCCAGTGTCAGGAACTACACCAACAAGTTCTCACCACATGTTTCCAAACTTCTTCCTGGTTTGTGACATAAGTGTGAGTACAACTTATAACTGTGTGGATGTATAAGATCAAAACATTAAATAATGCATAAAATCTTATATTTTGAAAGGAAATCAAGTCAGCAAATCTGCAATCTGACAGCAAAGATACAAAGAGTTCTGACCTGTCTCCAGCTCGGGTTAAACTACAGAAACTCTACAGCGATTTGATGTCCTGTGAACACAAACTGCTTTGATTTTCCTTCTGTAGAAAACCCCTTCTGTCAGTGTAATATCTGTATTTTTGTCTGGATCTCCCCTTCACTCGTGTCCCTGTGGTCTTTCTCAGCTGCTGCTCTCACTTTCACTGTTCTGGAGTCTTCCTCAAACTTTCGCCCACTCGTTTATCACAAGAGTCTGTTTGGTTTTCACAGTCTCCTGCTGATTCAACACTCAGAAACTAAAAACATATGCACCAACTGTGAGAGACAATATGACTGCTCTGGTCCAAATGGCGTTATCCTTGTACAACTTTTGACAAAGAATACATTATCAAAGGACCTATAGACGCTGATTGTGATTTATGTTATATTGTTTCCTCATCAAAAGCATACTCTACCTGCACACACCTTCACTAGAATAATTTGGATGATTTCAGATCTGTAATTGTCAATCTCTACTGAATTAGACAGACAGAATAATAATAAAGGTTTACTCAAACATAGGGCTGTGCAAAAATATTGAAATATCGGTACAGTGGTGCCCCGTTTATCGTGGGGGTTACATTCTAAAAATAGGCAAAATCCACAAAGTAGTCATCCTTATGTTTCTGTTCTGTTTCTATCTGTTTTAAGGACAGTTACAACCCTTTTTGCATCCTTCTTAAAACGTATTGCTGCTGTCGTCCTTATGTTATTTTTCTCCTTCTTTATGTAACGAATTGAAGATTAATTTATTCCGTAATGGAGCCCTTCAGCGCAGGGTCCTGGACAGGTCCATTTTTGGATTATATCAAAGTTAAACCCGCCCGGACCCATTAACATTCCACCTTTTACCCACTCGTGCCCATGATAAATCACAGACAGATTAAAAGCATTCTAACTGAAGCATCCATCAGAAAAGTTACGACTTCAAGAATTACAATCACGAAATGAATTGAAAGGGTTACGCTTTCTTCAGTACGAATATGAATTCACAGACGTGACTCTAATGTCATCATTTCACAGGCACTTTTGCGCCGCACATGCCACGGACTAAACTAAGACTAACCCAGGACTAACCCAGGATTGATTCCAGGACTGAAAATTGTACAAAAAAGAATCAGTGAGGTTGTGAAAGGTGAACCGTGTTATAGTGAGGGACGAATGTTTATCGTATAGTTTAATTTGATGATACAGTATCGATATCGTGGGCTGCTGTATTGATATATCCACCAAGAGCATTTTTAGGTACAGTATATTTTACTAAATGATTTTGCGTAAGAGCTACAATTGTGTTGACATTTTCACTGTTTTGTTGAGTAAAATGGGTGTTTTTCATATGAACACTGCAGAAACTTAGTGGACTTAATAGACTTTTAGTATCACAGCTTTGATTTAGTTTAGACTTTTGTTTTTCCAGGGTAGCCGCGGGGTCTTAAAAGTCTTTTAAAAAAGTCTTAAATTGCATGATCCTAAATTAAGGCCTTAAAAAGTCTTAAATGATGTTGTCCAAGTCTTATGTTTTTCACAAAGATCCAAAATTTCATTAGACTATTTTTTGTAAACTCAACCGGACTGCAGTGCAATGTTAAACGGAGGGAAAAAAAAAAAACAACTACATGAAATTAGGTAACGTGAATGAACATCTAATTTGGAGTAAACAATACTTTGGTTTCTGGTTCCGGCGGCAACGAGTAAACGATCAGTAGAGTGGAGGAAGATGTTGGAGGGATCATGGGGAAGTGTAGGTTTAGTCCACAGTGGCTCTTAGATTGTATACATATATATGTATAGTACCGGTTGTTGTTTGGTCATTATTAGAATTGAATTTGTTTTGTTTTCTTCACCCACATAATGGGCACGATGTTGGTCTTAATTTTCATGTAAGTGGTCTTAAAAAAGTCTTTAAATAGTCTTAAATTTGGCGTAGTCAAACCTGGGGATACCCTGTTTTCACTGAACATTATTAAATCAATTTGAAATATATCATATCGAATCCTACTGACTCAAAAGAGCCATGTATCGAAAAGCGTATCGTATTATGGCCTATGTTTCAAGGTATGTATCATATCGGCAACGTCGTAAACATGCCCATCTCTACGCAAACGTGTGTGAATGAAACAAAACACAACGTCCAACATTAAAACACGACTTAAAGGTCACACGAGTCAATTTTGCGATTCATATGACCCTTAACACACACTTTTGTTTTGTTTGTGTGTTTCAGATTTTCCCCGTCACCTCGGAGACGACCTTTGCTTTTTATTTGAATCTACCATTTCGTCTCCTCGTTTATATAAATCTACAGTCTGTGTGAAATAAACCAGCCTTTCTGTCAGATGATGGATATGACTCACTCTGTCTCCCGATGCAAACTCCAACCTATTCTGCCCACCACAACTTCACTGTGAGAGACTTCCAGGTCAGAAAACCAAGAAATCACTCGTCTACAATGCAAGAACTACTGCAACTGCAAGAAACAGGACTATTACAACATAAGAGACAATGTACAATTAAGTTCAGCTAGCAACTCTTCACTGGAGTAAAAATACGATCGCGAAAGTTGGGGTTAAGACTTGATACATGCTTCACAGATTTTAACTTTCTAAATGCTATGAAGACCGAGAACCAACAAGCAAAAAGTCCATCACAAAACACAAAACTGCTTCTAATTCTTCCTACTTTTGATATTTTTTGTTAGAAATCAAATTAAATGTTGCTAAATGCATTTGACATCCACTTCTTTCTTATATAACCCAAATATTCGTAGTGAAATTGTCGAAGAGTTGAGCTCCAGAGACGGGGGCAGGTGTTGACGATGCGTGGCCCAGCTCGAGCCCTCATGGCTGGGTACGGCACCACCACGTCGTCCCTGGAGATGGACGGGAGATTGGTCTGGCCCCCGAACAGCACTTTGGACCTGAACCAGACCAGGCCGGGTTGGGTGAGCCCGGAGATCTCTGTGGCAGCTTTCGGAGAGGCTTTCGATAATTTCACGCAGGAGGCGGTGACGAGCAGCGCGCTGAAAGAGAAAAACTGGCCGGCCCTGCTGATCCTCGTCATCATCGCGCTGACGATCGGAGGGAATATTCTGGTGATTTTGGCGGTTTCGTTGGAGAAAAAACTACAGAACGCCACTAACTTCTTCCTGAGGTCGCTGGCGGTGGCGGACATGTTGGTCGGGATCCTGGTGATGCCCATCTCCCTCATCAACATCCTCTACGGTCAGTCAAAAATATGTTATCCTTTATTTCACCCAAATTGAACTGAGTACTGGGGGATTTCAGATGACATCACAACATTTTATAGGCGCATATTATTTAATACAGGGGGGCAGCTAAAATATTGTATTTTCCGGGCTATTAGACGCGCTCTTAAGCCTCCAAACCCATCAAAAAACGATTGCGCGCCTTGCAATCCAGAGCGCCCGATACACGAATCCACTCGGGTGTCCCAGCACGACTTCAGTAAACTACAAAGCCGCGCCACCCGCAGCGCACGCAAACACACACGGAGCAGACAGCGACCGTGCAACGAAAAACACCCGCAGCCACACTCATCACTCCACGCGGACGAGGAACGGAACGAAGGAACGAACCAAAAAAGCGAGTGCAATGTGCCACTTCTAGACACAACAGAACAACTGAGTCACTGCGAACACGCCGACAATCCAGCGGTCCCAGACAGCACCCTCCCTACACGCCACAACTGAACAAAGCCCAGAGTCACCGTGAACGCACCAAACAAAACCACTCACCCATCCAACTGTTGTGTTTTGTTTAAAGTCCGGTGCGGTTTATTTATGAGTGCGCCTTATAATCCAGAGTGCCTAATAGCCCGGAAAATACGGTAAATGTTGCTATAATTTTGTTTTTATTGCAATATAGAGCATTCATAGCTCTGAGTGCAGGTTTTTTGAGTATCCCAAATAAGTCAGTTATAAGTCAATACTAACCCGGTTTCTCATAACTGGGAAACTGTAGCTGCGATATTCCGACAGTAACTGGGATACTGTGGCATGTATGTGCAGTATCCTGACTACTGCTACATAAAGTTGAGTGTGCATGCGTCCAAAAGACAAACACTATCTAGACTTTTCATTACAATGGTAGCTGACATAAATAAAGTGACCAACATAAATAAAGTGATCGACATAAAAAAGTGACCATACATGAAATGAGTTAAATAAAGAGCTGCAATGAACCTGCACACGTACAATCTGCCTGCGTATGACCTGCACACGTATGATCTCTGAAAAGCTTAACATGAACCATCTCCAACGCGATACACACACAGAACAGACTCACCATCAGCAGCATATCTCTCTGTCACAGAAAGAACACTCATATTCCACTGAATTGTGTCCTTTAGTCCGACAGAAGCTGACAGCATCAGGGCACAAGGAGTTTTTTTCAGCGCTTATAGATTATTAGCCATGTGGTTTAAAGTTTTGTTTCTGTAAAATGTAAACAAATGTGATCAAAACTGAGTTATATTATCAAACGGGCTGATGTGGTTTTATAGTGGTTATGGTTTATATGTTGTGAAGTTGAGTTTATTTATGTTGAGTTTATTTATTTATATTTAAGATTTTAATTAAGAATCTGCTGCAGTGTAGAACTTGTACTATAGTATTTGGAAACTTTGGGTTTGATCGGCGCAGTGGATTGTGGGATACCTCATAGCTCCTTACCACTGACCAGGAAACTCTCGAGCCTCCTACACTAAAGGAGCTCATGGTTGTTTGTATTTTTCTTGATTTATTAAATATATATCTTTTGGGCATTTGTAAGGTTGTGTCAGGAAACTGGTATATTACATTTGATCATGTACACAGGGATATCACCGGTTTCTCAGTGCGCATGTAAACCTCATTTCCCAAACACGGCCATAACCGGGATATGGATAATAACCGGGCTACTGATGTGCATGTAAACACACTCACTGTTAGAAATGATCAGGTTTAACTTTTGTGTTTTTACCTTTCGAATTAGAACAGATTCTAGATTGTGATGATGCTCTCCTCCCAGATGGAGGCAAGAGACAGTTTTATTTATTTTTTTCCTATAGATTACTCTGTACTCTTCCATGAAATATACAAAAGGTAAATTCCCAAAGATGGAATCTGATCATTTCTACCTGATGCAATTGCTGGTTTCAGATGACATCACAATGTTGTATAGGTCAATATTTAATACAGATGGGGGCGGGTAAAATGAATAGTTTTCCCACTCTTTTTCACTGACAAACTTTTCCATGACTTTTTCATGACCTAAAATGAATTTTCCATGACTTTACAGCACATTACATGTGTAGAATTGATCAGACTTTTCGTGCTAAATATGAAATGTGAACCCTTTCCACTCACCTTATGGTTTGGTAGTATAGTTTTTTAACATTCAAAATACTGTCAGTGTGTTTATTGTCGTCTCTTTTAAACAAATGATGCTCAGATGTTCGGAAATAATCATAATAGCCTAACGATAACTTCACAGAACACTGTGGTTGCGTGAAAGAGATACTAAAATTCCATGACTTTTCCAAAACTTGACAAAAATGAACAAAATTCCATGACTTTTCCAGGCCTGGAAAATGACATTTTCAATTTCCATGACTTTTCCAGGATTTCCATGACTGTGGGAACCCTGAATATTGTTCAGCTGCAAATTTTTATTGTAATACACCATGCGCTTGAGTTTAGTCAATAAGAAAAACAATCAGGTTCCATATTTGGGAATTTACTTTTCCAATAATGGAACTTGACTCCAAATTCCTCCGTTAACTGGTCGCCTTGACTGGCTTCACTGGACTGGAGCCAGATGCTATGGGTGATTTCTTTATATAGTCTACAGTTGAACCTGATCATTTTTACTGGTGACTAGACCCAAGAGCTCACTGTTTTACAACACAAATCTACATTTGAACAACACAGCTGCCCTCATCTGTATGAACTCTGACAGGACAATAGTGTGTTGATGAACCCGCCTGAAACCCAGTGTTTTAAATGTGCATGGATCTGTGTATCTATCTCTCCTCCCTCTCTCCTTCCTCACACTCTCCCCCTTTCTTTCTCCCCTTCCTCTGCCCCTTTTCCTTTTTCTCATCTTCCTATCTCTTTCTACAATCATAAAGCAACCCCCCCCCCCCTTCTCTTTTTAATTCTGTCTCTCTCTTTCCATCTCTCTCTCATTAATGTCTTCTAACCCCCTTTTTCTTAGTAATTCCCTTTCTTTCTTTCTTTCTTTCTCCCCTTTCATTTATGTCCTATTGTTTTTCCTGTATATTTCAGGCTCCACTCTCGTTCTCGATAACACGGGATAATTAACGCGACTCTGAAGTGTAGCTGTGCGCGTTCAGCATTAGCGCCCACGTTAGGCTAACAGGAGCCTAAAGTGTGTAAACATTTTCATCACAAAGCTACAAACACATCACGCTCCACCTGAAAATGCCACACTGCGGAACATTTCCAGGAGGCGCAGATAAGCAGATGGTTTGGATGATATAGGCGTACATGACATTTCATTTCAAAGAGTTTTCGATTTAAAGAACTTAAAATGCAGACCTCAAAAACAGCTATGGGGGTTTGTTTGGGATTAGCATAACAATAATCAGATATTTTTGCCTGTAAATGTCTTGAACTTTGTTTGGAAGTTTACATCTGCTATAAACTATTCTTGGAGCATTTGGAAATACTCCTTATGGACAGTACTTATAGGCTGTAAGCAGGACCAGACTGGCAATCTGTGTGTTCTAGAAAAGTCCAGAACGCCCGTCAACTCTTCCAACAGCAAATGGCTCTAATATGATCATCTGACCATTTGTCAAGCATAAATTGCATAGGCCTAAAAGACGACAAAGAAGTGTGGTTACTCGTTGGTTTTAACACATGTCAACAGTGTTGGGGAGTAACAGATTACATGTACTGGAGTTACGTAATCAGAGTACAAATTATGAGTAACTGTATTCAGTTACAGTTACTGTTTCAGTGAGTGGTAATGGGATTACAGTTACTTTGTTGTCATGTTTTCACATTTTGGGCTAAACCAGGACTAAACCAGGACTAAATCCAGGACTAAACCAGGACTAAACCAGAACTAAACCAGGACTAAACCAGAACTAAACCAGGACTAACCAGAACTAAACCAGGACTATACCAGAACTAAACCAGGACTAAACCAGAACTAAACCAGGACTATACCAGAACTAAACCAGGACTAAACCAGAACTAAACCAGGACTATACCAGAACTAAACCAGGACTATACCAGAACTAAACCAGGACTAAACCAGAACTAAACCAGGACTATACCAGAACTAAACCAGGACTATACCAGAACTAAACCAGGACTAAACCAGAACTAAACCAGAACTAAACCAGGACTAAACCAGGACTATACCAGAACTAAACCAGGACTAAACCAGAACTAAACCAGGACTAAACCAGAACTAAACCAGAACTAAACCAGAACTATACCAGGACTATACCAGAACTAAACCAGGACTAAACCAGAACTAAACCAGGACTATAAACCAGAACTAAACCAGGACTAAACCAGGACTAAACCAGAACCAGAACTAAACCAGGACTAAACCAGAACTAAACCAGGACTAAACCAGAACTAAACCAGGACTAAACCAGAACTAAACCAGGTCTAAACCAGGGCCAATTTGAAGAGAACAAACATGAATTTTCAGGATGTGGTTGTTACATTCATGCAGTTTTAAAAAACATGACAATATCAAGTAATCCAAAGTATTCAGATTACGTTACTGAGCTGAAGTAATTTAATAGATTACGTTACAAACTACATTTTGGGATATGTAATCTGTAGGGGAATACATTTTAAAAGTCACCTTCCCAACACTGCACGTCAAAGATGTCGATCAGAAAACATAAGGAGGAAGGTGGATGGGAAAAGGTTAAAGACAAAAAAGCTAAGTCATTTCAAAATGAAGTGATTGAGGTGTTTTTGTTAATAAACAATCAGAAGTAGTTCATCTTTCTGTGTTTTCTTCAATTACTTCAATCCAATCCACTTTTCAATTTCTATCCAATTTAATTTAATATAACACATTTTACAAACATGACACTTTCCAAAGAGCTGCACAGACAAATTAATACAACAAAAGACAGTAAATCATAATTAAAAACAATAAATAATAAGTGTTAAAATGCATAAAGCTAAAAGTTATAAAACAATGAATAAAATAAAACGGTAACACTT